AAGTGTGGCTGAAAGTGAAATGTGTGAAAGCGCAAATGAAGAAAGACATCTAAGTGAAAAAGATAAAGGCTTGACAGTAATATGAGTCATAAAAAGTAATAAAAACACGAACGTGCCATTTAAAGATATAAGATGAAGAATAAGAAAAAATAAAGGAGGATGAAAAAGATTATTTAAGAAGCGTATAGGAAAACCAAACAAAAACTAATACAAAGCTGTCCATTAAATTTAATTGTTAAATACAACTATGTAACCTACTTCAATTAGAGTAACAGCTCGAGAGAACTCGTCTCCTTCTCCATAAGCCGAACGGTATGCACCGGACACGAGCCTACCCGCTGCTTGGTGGCGCCCAAATACAACAGCCATAGCATCTGTAATCTCACCAACAGAGCAGCGAGCACGAGCAGCATCTATGGCGAGACCAAGCAGATTTTTACTTCGATCATCGGGGCGACGACAAGCCTCTGTAATTGCAGAGAGTGACTCTCGTGCCTTGAATAATTCACGAAAGGGAATAAAGAGAAAGGTGAATATTTTTATATTTAAAAGTTTAGAACTAAGTTTAGTAATAATATTTTTCGCATTTAAGTATAGTTTTAAGACTACCAACAAATGTGGTTAGCGTGTCAAGCCCCCATTCTGCACTGTCACGGTTTGACTCCCGCTGGGGGTGTTTATAAGACCGATGCGAGGTCGAAACTACAGTCCACTCCAGCCTGGATGAGAACAACTTTTGGGAGAGCAAGTCTATGTGAAATTTAATGGAAACGTCAGCTCTACTCATACCATTGTGGGAAAAAATCTTCTACTAGTCCTTCATCACTTTAAAACGAAATTTGGTGAATACATCCCATATTAGTAATAATAAAATGAAATAAATGAGAGCTTCGATAAACTTTGATCCAAAGACGGAGATAAAATGAAAAAAGTTCAACTAGGGGAATCGTTAACTCGGTACATTAAGGCACATGCGAGTTTTCAATTTGCACTAATTTGCCGGACATGGGAGTATACCATTTGGTTTATTTACTCTTCTAAATTTGTAATAATATAGGTTCTACTTGAATTACAGCCTTGTTATACTGCGCACAACGACTTCGGAAGTAAAACTAGTTTCACTATTGGGCATGCGTTATTACGTACAATTTCATTAATTCTGCTATGGTGATCAAGGAACTTTATTTAAAATTTGTAAGCCAATCTAAGGAAAATTCGTGCAATTTCAAATCTGTGTGCTATGAATGTTTCTACTCTCCAATATAGGTATAAAATACCTTTCAATAAACTATTGCTGAATAGCTTGTAATAAGAATGTATTTGAATATTTTTGAAAAATACTAAACAGTAGCCAAAAAAGGAGTGATTATAAGTTGATGGAAGGTATTTGGCCTCGTTCTACAGCTTGGTCGTATTGTCAGGACGACTTAGTGAAACGCACCTTGTCCGGAGTCTAAAGGATGCATGATAATTTCCAGAGTCGGACCGTGGACTTGGTAAATTGCCATATGCCTGGGAATGTACCAAGTCCACGATCTGATGTTGAAAAGAGTCATGCATACTATAGACTCCAGACAACTTCACTTTCGCTAGGTCTTCATGACAATATGACCAAGCTGCAAAAAAAGACTGCGACCATAGTAAAGGCCACATCATCTTGATCTTCATACCTTCGACTCAATCAGATAATAGTAATTTTTATGGATTTATGACAAATTTGGGATTATTTTATGACGACAAATTCAAATGGCCCTATATAAGAATGGAAAATTTCTGTACACACTAATCCTGTGGTA